GGGGGGCAGAGCCCCCCACTTTCGTATTCTAGTAAATTTTCAGAGCCCCCCCCATTGAAAATTCCTGAGAACGCCACTGAATGGAACTCTAAAAACACCCGAAACAAGAAGTTACATACAATTTTCACTGAATTATATTAGTAATGTCTTTGTATCACATAATTTTTGAATTTTGCGTCATTTATAGGCATAATAGAATTAAATCAGAAAACTTTCAAAATATTTTGACTCATTATGTTCAATGATTATGTTGAACAAGTTATAAGTAGATATATACAATTTTAGATTTTTATTATTTTTTTTAAAATTAATGTCGATTAAAAAATTTGTGGGATCAAAAGTCTTGAAAATGTTATACCACGTTCTTCATACAGGATAGGAGATTAAAAATAATTATACTTTTTGTCTCCTGGCGTGAATAAGAAAAACCAACAACGTTTGCTATACCTATACACAATGTGTAAATATGCAATTTAGTTTACTTGAGTGTTATTATATTCAGTTCTGACTTTAGAAGCATTTGCATTGCGAATATTATGACTTATGAGTTTAATTGTTCCATCATAGGAGTCGTACGTGTTAGTGTTGTCGGGATGTTTGCATTCTTACACATGAGACATCTGATTGAATCGTTTTATGACGCACGGAAGAACATGCCAAAGAAATTGATAAAATGTTTTAATAATAATAATATATTGTTGAACGATGCATCTATTCGATGTAGGTCGTTGGTACCATAAAATTTAATGTGATTATTATTTATTCTTATGCTTTAGGTAAGCGTGAGTGAGAAATCTATCAACGCAAGTGTTCGAGTCCATTTAGACCCGGCAGCTGTACCCGGTATTATTGACATTGAACAGTTTCAAAAAGTGATAGAAATAAATCTGAAATTGGAAAATAGATTGACCGAGTTGGAAGGTAGTTGTTTCATAATAATATGGCGAATACCTATATAATATTAATATTTTTGAATATTAAACAAATATGTATCTAAAATAATCATTATTATGTAGAAATGATTCGACGCGGTGATGAAAAACAAAGGATTCAAGATCTACATGTAACTTACTTATTACCTGTCTATAATATTAATCAATATATACTTTGGTATTTTTTACTTCGGAATGGATGGAAATACCCACATTGTAATAATATTTATCTCCTATTTGCTATTTCGGGTAATTTAATAATCTTTAGAAATCTCATATTCTGATTATGCCCTTCTTAGCTTCATACGTGGTACACTATAATATAGTGACTATATATTAGAACGATAATTTTATAACGATTTGAAGTAAATTTCACGAAGTATCCATAGTATCTCAATAAATACAAATCATCGATTTACGAGAGGACATTAGGGAAATCTAAGTGCCAAGGGTTGTTTGTAAGAATTTTATATTGACACGATATGTCATAGACGAAGGTTCAGAAAATAATAAGTATCCCTCACAAATAAACAATCACTAATGCAGTTCCTAAGAATTTAAAAATTGAAAGTACAAAGCAGTGGTCGGTAAAATTACTAGGACAAATATGTAACGAAAATTGTTTTGAGACCAGTTACATAATATGGCACCAAGTCCCAAGTTATAATCACGATTGGTTGTTTTAAAGATTTNTCTTCTACAATTATCTGGTCACCACTTATATCATGACCTGAATAAATTAATAAATTTGTTCATTAAATAATGTTTCATGTAACTTTATCTTATACTATTAATGTAGAAATGTTCTACTAACTAGCATTATAGTCAGCATCACAATCAACATTATTAAAAAGTGGATCCATCCTGTCACCGAGTAGACCTATTACTTTTTGAGTAACATTTGATAATGTGGACTGATTTGAACCACCTCCAGTTTTGTAATGCTGCACCTAAATTAAATATATAATTATGAAAACACTAACATAGGAACATAGTGTGGTAAGTAATTTCTCTAAACCATTATATCATGCTAATCAAATTGGGTGATTAAACTAATGAACTGCACAAATTTAAATTGATGAGATGTTGTAGAGATGATTTCAGCAAGAAAGATTCAAATTTTTAACAAATAGGCAGGGGAGTACCACTCATCAACTTATACTATAATTTCACAATTAAAGACAAATTTATCAAATATTATTATTAATAGTAATTTTAAATAGAAAGTACTACATATTATACTACTGATATAAATGGGTACGGTAACGATTTTAACAATTCATAACATTATACAGACCTTGTACTGACTTTTTTCTTTTCTGGCTTCCCTTTTTTTAGTATCATACATATGTTTTATTTGGCCTATATTTCTAATACCAGACGTCTGAATTGCATTGTATTCATCAACAATTTCTGACCATGCCTCATTTTTTTTATTGTTCCACACAGCATCAGTCTATAAACATTATTTTAAATCAATGCAGAAATATAATTGAAAAAAAATGTTATTAGGTACCTAGGTAGTAAATATTTATATTTAAATATTTTTATGACCAATACCTAATATTAATATACAATATGTTAATAAATACTTTATTATAACAAACAAACTTATTCAGTGAATTTAAATTAAAAAAAATACTTACTTTAACATTTTCAATAACTGATTTATATGGCAAAATTAGATCAATCAAAAATTCTTTTTCGCGTTCCGTAAAATGTTTACCCCGCTGTCTCTTCTTAACATCAGACACACTATTTTCCATTTTCAGTTTTATAGGTACCTGCACCTTTCAACAAATTTACTTTCGAAACTTTCGTTACGAAAGTACAAAACACAATACACATCAATCGGACAAAGACCGTATAACAATTCGTAATTCGTATTTACCAATTGGCAATCACCATAATATTATCATTATAAATTATTCATGAGTACATTATCAATTTTGTACTGATAATTAATATTATTTTGGCTATAGTCCTGACCTGTGGTCAATGGCAAGCCAATAGAACTATGAGGAAAATAAAGTAAAAAAAAACAGGTATTTAGTAAATATACAAAAAAGGCGATTTTATTGACGGAGCTTAAATACAGTTAGCAAACGTGTACGCGACGACGCAGCGGATAACGGTCAACAACGAAGGCAAAAATAAAACGACCACTGGCGGGACCTGGTCGTGTTGAGTCGAGAGGGGGGAAACGGTCGCTGCGTTGCCGCGTTAACAATGATAAGGTGAGAGGTCGCCACATTATCTTCGCAATTTGGTGATAACAAAATTATCAAAAACCACATAACCAAAAACAGACTTCAACCAAATCCCTATTTCAGAGTTCTTCACATATTCATTTCGGAGAGCCAAGCTTTGAATTTTCCGAAACCACGATTGCCCTAAATGAAATTTACAGCATTTTATTTTTGAATTTGGAAAAACTGCTAAAAATCCATCATGTGCTGCTTTTTCAAAATCAACTAATAGTGTTTCTGGAGAAAATTCTAAATCATATTTTTCACACAATTTTTGTATATATTTCCACATTGACTCGTAGCAATTTGAAGTTTTACTTGGTAGTAAACAGTAAATTAAATGTAAATATTTTCCGCAGCTATAAGCATGTATCGTATAGAGCTGGTAAAAGAATTTCGGACACACGTAAAATGTACCATCGGCAACTAAAAGTGAACTATTATGGCACATATATTGAAGATTAGATTTAGTGGTCAGAAAAATGATTTTGCTTTCTGTATCTACGTGACAAAACGTTTCGTTCCTATTAGTTAAAATATTTCGGTTACTAACTTGATTAATAGCTTCTTCCAATGATTAAGGCGTTATCGGCAATAATTTACGTCTTTGTCTATACATTGAAACTCGAATATTTTCAATATCATCTGAAACCATTTCAATATTTTCAGCAGCACACAACTCATAACGCATTATTTTCGATGGTCTGTCGGTAATATTTTCAGTTGCTTTTCTTTTACAATTATTACGCAAAATATGACACTGGGCATTATGAGCATTCACTATATCATGCAAATGCTCACCATTAACACGAAGAATTGCAGCAGTGGCGTATTTACGGGGGGGGATATGGGGGATAGATCCCCCCCTTGACCTTTTTTTTTTTCCTAGGTAGCTAAGTTGTCTCATTTTCTCTAATATTCTTAATATGATATAATTATAAGTGAAATTACTTTCAAGCATGTATGTTTAATAAATGTTCTAGTCGTGGTAATTGTAGTAATTGTACCGCTCTGATAGTCTGATATACTAATCGCCACTAATCGTTGGCGGCATGTACGACTATCAGGCAACAATAACTATACCTATATTATGGTGTACTGTATTTTGTACGTTTCTGCGAATTATTTTTCATGCAAGAGTGTTTATAATAAACCCGATAAGCAATCGGTATTCGGTAAACAAAACAAAATGAATACCGTGGATTAACCATAGGCCGGGTTTATTTTTAGAAAATTTGTTACTAGTAGATTTATGGCTAATCGCTAATGTATAGCGATTATAGATATTATTATTACATTATATTTTATCGTATGATATCGTGATTTGTGAAAAGTAGATATTTACGGTCGTTGGACGTTGACGGATAGCGAGTAGCGACGCCATTCCGAGTACTGACTTACTGCCGAATTAACTATTGTTCGACTTTTATTTTTTTCGTCTTGTTAGTTGTAACTGTGAAGTTTTAAGACAATAATACAATAAGAGTAATACTCAAAAACAAAAAAACACTTTATTTTCTTATTTTAGTACAAATAAAAAAATTTGTTTGGAAAATGATGAGGTAATTATAAAAATTAATAAAATAATTAATTAAAATTATAAATTGTCATTAATATGTCTTTTTTTATTAATTTGTTTATTTGGCTATTTAGGCTGCATCTGAAGAAGAAGAACATGAGTTATTGCAATCCACATCAAAACCTATTACAAATATAAATGATATTGGTAATATCGTTGATAAATCGTTTTTAAAAGATGCCGATACAAAACTTGTAAGTTTCTTTGTTCCTTACTAATTTTACATCGTTTATGATTTAAATACATTTTTATTCAATATAAATTCAGCAAATTGATTTATAATAAAATTTTAAAAAAGTTCTTCTGTTCTATAGGTGCTTACTAATCTGTGGGTCCCAGATACAAAGTATAACTTTCCTATACTTGAATGCAATAAAAAACGTGGACTGAAATTCCAACATAAGTGGCTTCATGAATTTAAATGGCTTTGTTATTCAGAAATTAAAAGTGGTGCTTTCTGTAAACACTGTGTTTTATTTGCAAAGAGTGGTGGTGTTGGAAGTCAATCTTTGGGAAACTTAGTAACTGAACCCTTTACAAACTGGAAAAAGGCTAAAGAGGTTCTAATTTATTTTGTAATTTGTAATCACGTAATTTTTTAACAAATGATAAAATGCTTTCCAGGTTTTTCGATATCATATGAATTGTAAATATCATTTGTCAGCAGTTCTTGATTCTGAGCATTTTTTGAAGGTTTTAAACAAAGAAGAACCATCTATAATCGAACGAATTGATCGAAATAGGTATTATTATTTTTATACCATAAAATAAATTTAAATACATCAAAATAAGTATATATTTTTTTATTTTTTTTATTGGTTTTAAGGCTTCAACAACTGAGGTCATTAGCCTGTAGGTTGGTAGGGTTGTTACAGTAGGTGTTACACGTGGGTGCATTTGGCAGAATTTTTAATGGGGCACCTGTAGGTTTCTGCCATGCCCCGGGGTGGGGGATATATTTTATTTTATTATATTATAATATGTATTATATTTTGTGCCAACTACCTAGAATGACTCAAGTTGAAGAAAACCGCAAAAGACTTAGACCGATTATTGAATGTATATTATTATGTGGCAGAGAAGAATTAGCATTACGTGGTCATAAAGATTTTGGTAGCATTTCAGTTGATGGTGAGTTTATATTTATAATGCATTTCTTGAATTATTTGAGATTATTTTGTTCAATTTTTAATTGTATTGTTATTAGAAGATGCTTTGAGACAAGGAAATTTTCGGGCCATACTTAAATATAGAGCAAAAGGTGATGATTTTTTACGAAGTATTCTTGAGGGTCCAGGGAAAAGAAATAAGTACACCAGTCCAACTATCCAAAATGATATAATAGAGTCCTGTAATACAATACTATTGAAAAAAATTGCAAAAAAAGTGAACGAGTCTAAATGTTTCTCGGTACTTGCCGATGAAACCACAGATATTTCAACAAAAGAACAGCTTGCTATTTGTGTAAGATATGTCAGTGATGATAACATGTTGCATGAAGATTTTTTACAATTTTTTGAGATTGAAAGTCTGACTGGTGAAGCTTTGGCAAATTCCATATTAAATGGTAATCATGATTTATACTATAGTATTAAATAATAACTGTTATTCGTACATATTTGTATAAACTACTTAGTTATTATCTTTTTTCCAATATTAAGTGTAAATTACAATTTTGTTTTATAGGTTTAAGCAAATGTGGGATTGATTGTAGTTATTTGCATGGACAGGGCTATGATGGGGCCAGTAATATGTCTGGGCAATTTAGAGGTGTACAAAGTATTGTTAGGTTAAAATATCCAAAAGCAGTTTATGTCCATTGTTCAGCACATTCACTGAACTTAGCTGTATCAACAGCTAGTGGTATTAGACCAATTAGGAATTGTTTAGGAATAATTGAAAAGGCCTATCAGTTTTTCAATACTCCAAAAAGAAATTCTATTCTTCTACATGAGATTGAAAATTCAGACCACGAGCCCAGTGTAAAACAATTAAAACGACTATGTGCTACCCGTTGGGTACAACGGTATGATGCAGTGAACGATTTCTCTGAGCTCTATCCATTCGTTCTTAAAGCATTAGACACAATATGTGATTGGAAAGATCCAGCAGACGCCTCTATGCTTAAACATTCTATGGAAGATACCGAATTCTTAATTTCGTTTTATATAGTTAAGGTATTCATAAATGTTTCAATTTTTTACTATACAATTTATAACCTACTTAGTGTTTTAATTAAATTTTTTTTCAGTTCCTATTTTCTTTTTGTCTTCCTCTATGTAAGCAGTTACAAAAAGTACAAATAGATTTAAAAAAAACTATAGCTATAGTTGAGAATGTAGTAATCACTCTGAAGGCCATTAGAGACAATTACAAAACCGAATTTAGTCAAATCTAAATAAATGTTAAAGTAAATAATTAAAAAAAAATAGTTTCATTGTGTTCAAATTTCAAAATGTTTAATATTTATCTTCTAGATGGCTGCAGACAATGTTGGTATTGAATTAAAAAAAAAGAGAGTCATTTCAAAACAAACTTTGAGAGATAATCCAAATCTTCTGGATTGTTCCATTGAACATTATTATTGTGTTACAGTATTTTTACCGTATGTCGATTACTATTTAATGCAATTGACTGAGCGATTTATTAATCATAAAGCTATATTTGAAGGTAAATATATTATATGTATTATATTTAATATTTATACACTTTTTTTTAGAATTTGCAACTTTATACCTATTACATATAATTTATTTTATAGGTTTTAATTGCATTTTCCAATCAGAATCACTTATGGTAGAAATGGAAGATATTGTTGCTTTTCAAAAGCTTGTTGAGTTTTATTCATCAACAATTGACCAACACTCTAGCATTGCTGAATTAAAGATGTGGAGAGT